TGTAAGAAAATAACATGAGAAAATAATAATATTTTTCGGATATCTTGGTGCTACTGGGCCTCAAATATCGAGCTCGTAACCCATATATGAATATTTAATAATTAAATCTTATATAATTATAAAAATTAATTATTTAATCTTATTATAGTCAAAAATAAGTGAGTCATAAACAAAAATATATAATAATAAAACTAGCATATAAATTAATAAAACTAACATATACAACATTAAACTAACATATAAAATAACAGACATGTTGAGTGATAAATCGAAAAAAATTTCTTATCATGAACACAAGAATTCAGGATATCTTAGTGCAACTAGGCCTCAAATATCGAGCCCGAAACCCATATGTGAATATTTAATAATTAAATCTTGTATAATTATGAAAATTAATTATTTAATTTAAAAACAAACATATAAAATAATAAAACTAACATGTAAAATAATAAACTAACATATTAAAGTAAAATAATGTAATTAATCTTGTTTAATTTACAGTAGACGACATGGAGGTTCCGCCTTTGCATCCCAGACCTGCCAGCGTGGAGCTACTGTTGTTACAGGGCGATCATAGGTCATCCCACATATGGGAGGGACAGTTACTGGCCCAGACGTAGACGACATGTGGGGCTTTCTCAGGAACCACCCTCTCAATCCCCGTATAGTCATACACCTCCAGGATACGGGTTTTATAGGATTGTGGAGATCAGTCGGCTGCAGCTCGATTGATCGTTGATCACGGCCCTGATAGAGCGGTGGCGACCGGAGATGCATACATTCCATTTGCCCATTGGCGAGGCCACCATCATGCTGCAGGACGTGGAAGTCATGTATGGGCTGCCCGTTGATGGACACCATATTACTATGCCGCATGCCATGAGAGAGCAGACATGTTTGCAGTATCTGAAAATGCTGCAGCGACTCACCGGTTTACAGCCACCGGAGGAGACTGCACTGGTTGGCGCCAGCCGTCTGCAGTTGACGACTGTCTGACATCATTTGGAGGCATTGAACCTTGATATCACAAACGATACACCAGAGCTTCATATTCACCGGTACACGAGGTTCTTGCTGCTCCTTATATTTGGAGGGGTTTTGTTCCCGAACACTTCGAGGAACCTAATCAGCTTGAGATTTCTTCATCATCTTGAGCGGCTAGATGATTTACCCTAATATAATTGGGGTGCTGCTATTCTCGGCTACTTCTACAGCCAGATGTGCCGGGCGAGCATGGGCACACAACATGACGTTGCTAGATTTTTGCCGCTGCTACAGGTGAAAACATATTCGAATACTCTATTCATTATAACATACCCAGTAAAAATATACCTTAAATTTTACGTCCACTTTGTATGTTAGGTTTGGGCCTGGGAGCGGTTCCTGCAGTTGCAGCCACCTCTACCATCATTAGCTCCGGGTGCACCACCTCCATTTTTCCCTCTAGCTAGGAGGTGGGTTGATAGGCACGGATATGGACGAGAGTACGAGGCTTGACATAATCTCCCCTTATGTAGGGATTTGTTAGATTTGCTGGAGGGCACACACGTAAATATATACCTAAGTTTACTTGGCCTGGCTTAATATTTGTTATGTATACTCATGTTTTCTGTTGTTACTTAATAGTTCATTTGGAGGCCATACATCGGCGAGCTAATAGCCGGTTTGCCCAATTATTGTTCGGTCGGCCGAATTATGTGAAGCTCTTCCGTCCCGTTGATTTGCCTTGATATTATGGAGCATCATGTCACCGAGCGATTACTTCGCCAGTTTGGCCGCCCGCAACTTGTACCTCCACCGCCCGCCTGGCATATCACACATTACCAGCGGGATGATCGTTCCAGGGTGGACTAGACATATATGGCATGGCTAAAGGTGCAGATCGATACTTGGGGCCAGCGATATATATGTCAAGCTCATGTCGCATCAACCAACAATAGGCTCCTCGTCTTCCTGCCTGATAGATTCCATGCGCCTCATGAATTTACACTCTTGGTGATCTGTTGGATCCATCCACATTAAATCATGCAAATCCTTGTTGGGATATGCCTTCTGAAAATTGGCCTTCAAGTGCCTCACACAGTAACGGTGGTAGGCATACGGTTCCTGCCATGCACGCAAATTCTGTACAAAACTTAAAATACCACCATGCCGATAAGATATTAGACAAATACCTGAACGTTGTTTGATCACGTGCTCTTTTAAGTGGTTCAAAAATAGTGTCCACGTCTCTTGGATTTTATTGGCACAAATAGCAAAAGCTAAGGGAAATATACTTCCATTAGTATCTACTGCAACGACGATCAACAGCTTAGTATCATACTTATCATAGACATGACTGCCGTCTATGGATATTACCGGCCGGCAATGCACAAAACCATCAATTGCTGGTTTAAATGCCCGAACACGTATCTGAATATATATTCTGGTATTCCCGAACTCTGCTCAAACTTCCATTCAACAACAGTCCCAGGGTTAAAGTATTGCAATACGGCCATGTACCTGAGTAGAGATGCAAATGACTTATCCTAGTTACTATAAACAATTTCAAACGCACGTTTGCGCCCGAGAAATGTCTTTCTTTTGGTAATGATGCACCCATATTCCTGGTAGACGGATGTAATACACTCTTTGATCTTGTACCTTATGGACGCTTCAATGTGTGGAATTAAGACAAGAGAAATCAAGTCAACATCCAAGTTGAAGTGATTCCCACTGAATGTGTCCATTTCATAATTGTGGGTGCCAATGTATTTACCCACAACCCACATATTTGTTTTCTTCTTCTTCGCACGCAGCATCCAGTTATAACCCGTAAACCATCTGCGGCAAACAACCTTGTATACATCCGGAGTTGACTCCCATATCGTCATCTCATGATACTTTTTTACGCTGTACATTTTCATCGCCCTGCTTAGGCGCCCTTTATCAAGAAAAAGCATGCCCTTTGATAGCACCGTTGGTCTAGACTCATCCCACATTACTGTTCGAATTTCGTCAGTATCCCTTGAGAGGGCATCCATATCCGGTATACTTGGCAAATGATCAAGGTTGGGAATCTCCCTTGAATGAAACGGTACGTGGGACTCGTACACTCTTGGTCTAACGGGGGTGAAGCATGCTCCCTCGTCAAATCAGGTCCAGCATTCTCTTCCTCCTCATCATCACCCTCATTAGGGAAGGGTGTGTCATCTCCTTACTCATCGGCATTGTTGTCATAGTCACTGTTTTCTTCCTGACTCTATGCATCTGCCAGATCCCGATTAAATATGTCGTCATCGGGAAATTAAGTCAGGACATGACGTTCAATTTTCTCATTCTCACTGCACAACCAACAAAATAATGAGTTACTCACATTGATAAATACTTTACATATAGCTATATCACTTCACTTACAAATCGTAATGTGTTGACATCCCATGATGGACATCATCCTGTTGGTGATGACTCCCGGATAGACCACCATGATCCAACACACCAGAACTATGCATATTCCAACTGGGCGTTGGTTCATAACTTGTAAAATTCATATCTGGCCGGTACCCTCGCTGGAATATATGAGTGTTAATACAAATTTAATACAGCAAAAATAAACATCGTAACACAAAGAAAAATTGAAATTTACCACTCGTCTTGTGGATCATGTAAAGTAGGAGAGAAATTATTTTTTCGCTCCTCATTCGCCCGTGGAGATAAGTTTAGATCAGGCCAAACTCTTTCAGCCGGAACCTGTTCGGCTAAAACTGCTCCAAAATAACCACCTGATGACTGAGGGATATCCCTGCTTTGCGCAACCTCATTATTGCGAACGTCTTCACCCTTGACGTACATTTCCAACATTTTTATCAAAAGAAATTTCCGGTATTCATCCGGAGTCCTCAAAAAATTACTCAGAGTTTCATCATCCTCGATGTTAAACTCGGCATAACAAGCAACCACTTGCGGAGTGACAGAATACGGATATCTTTCGGTTACTTTAAGGTTCACCGAACGTTTGCTCACACTAATTTTTTTACATAACAACGATTCCAATCTATCATACTCTATTGTAAGTGACAACTTAACATGACACTGTGGAGATAAACTATAACTTACTGAGTTATTCGCTACCAACCTCACCCACCCAATATAATGAAACCCTAATTCTTCGCTGTTCAGACATTATGACAAAATACAAAACAACTTAAGGAAGAAAAATTTAACAAGATTTGAGAATTTTTCTGAATGGATTTTTACAAAATCCTTAACGTCTTTAAATAAGGCAATGCCCAATTCGGGGGGTCGAATTTTTTGAGATATAGCGCCTTAAATAAGAGCGCTATATTCATTTGAATTATTGTTATGTCAGTTAAGCGCAGAATAATTATTGGTGGGCCACAAAATATGTATAGCGCCTTAATAAACGACGATATACCTGGTCGTCTTTTCATATTCAAATATAGCGTCATTTTAAAGGGCGCTATATATATTTTAGTCACTAACTTTTTTTTTGAATCCAAAAATATATTATTTTGGTTCCGGACTCATCGAAACGGGGAGTTCTATAGTAGGTTTGATGTATCCCACTATCTTAATCTTCTAGTTAGTGGCAGTAGTATATGATCACGTCATAGATTCTATAGGTAGATGTAAGGGAAAAAAAAGTAGAGTACTCTCCATTCATTTTATAATAAAACAGTGTTTGATTGAACTCAAAGTTGAAGTATTAGTTTGTTTAATTTTTTGTAACGTAGTGAGAGACTATATATCAAACAAAAAGTTGAAATTTTGTAAAACAGAATTGTATAGAATAAAAATATACATAAAGTAGTTTACGAAAAAGAATCTAGTCGTACATCAACGAGTCTATGGACCGAACTTAGTAAACAAGAAAAAAAATTCCATTTTGCATAGACGAAATTAGTGACAAGAGAGAGACAAAATTCTTGACAAGAAGAGGTAATTAACAAAATGCAATATTTTACATAGCAAAAGCTTCTTGCAAGTTTTTAAAAGCCTGTTTACATATTTGTCTTAGAACTATAACCCCTCATTGAAAGGGCAGACCCAAAAAAGAAAGGAAAAATAAAAAGAAAACTAAACAAGCCGATAAGTGTGCAGAAGTAAATATTACAGTAGTAGAAGTAAAGTAAGCAGTGTCAGCTATGGCATAATCCCAGGTTTATTCCCATGATGGTGCAAAGGGTCTGGACTCGCAGGTGCTTCTCTTAATTCCACACCTAATTCCAACTTATTGTTCTTCCCATTATTCCCTGTGCTTATTGTTTTTCCATATCCATGTCCTTGTTTAGTAATTTCACTTCCAGTTACAGTAATTGGTTCTGTCTCTTTCTCCTTCAACATGTAAAGCAACTGCAATAATAATAATACAAATAAATAAATCAAATCCCCTTCCTTTACATTAGGGTAAATCAATAAATGTACACCTTTCTCTCTGAATATATATATATATATATACAAAATAAACAACCTTTCTGCTGTGTTGCGTAGCGGTTTTTCCATGTGAGTGTCCACTTAGCAATAAACAGTCTGCAAAATAGATTAAAGCAGAGTAAATGCGAAGTCTTGCACAAGACAGAACCAGAAAAGAAAGCTCACTAATAGAAAGACAAAATTAAAGTGAGAAAATGATACCTGAGCATATATATTGCACTTGCAAGGCTACCATTAATATCATCAAAGAAATTAGATACTGCTTGTTAGTGAAGGCCATGTGAATTAAAGTTTTTACTCCACTTACACAAATATGAAACAGAAGAAATACTAATTTAATTTTCTAGATGAAGTAAATATCGGAATACTGATCGCAATTTATAGAGGAGCTTTAGCGTTTCAGAAACACTAATATGCATGATTAGACAGAGCAGCCATGTATCTGAAGAAGTAGAGGTAAAGAATATGATGATTAGCAGCTAACTGCTATAGTTGCAGAGAGAAGAAGAAGATCAGATACGCATTATTAACTGGAAAAAGACTGTGCAGAGTACAGACCCTTAGTTGATGCTTGACACTCTTCTTGACGGCGCAACAGTCATTTTCACTCTTCACTATGGGTCAGTAGTTCTAGTACTACATCATCCAAAACAGAAGAATTCATATAAATTTTTAGAAAGCAACAAGAGTAAGAATAAAAGGGTATACCATATTTATACACATTATTGACAATGTAAAAGAATTTTTTCCTCCGTTTTAATTTATGTGACATAGTTTGATTCGATACGGAGCTTAAGAAAAAAAAAAGAGCTTTTAAGACTTATGTTAAAGAATAACAGTTTTGTAGGAGCATAATATTTGTGTGTCTATAAAAGCTTCCTATTAAGATTAAAACAAAATTTTAAAGTTAAATTATTTTCAATTATAGAAATATGTCATTATTGTTTAAACAGACTAATAAGAAAAGTTAACACATAATTAAAACGGAGAAAATATACTATCAGGTCACTCAAAAAAATACTTCATCCGTTTCAATTTATGTTAACTTATTTCCTTTTTAGTCCGTGCCAAAAAGAATGACCTCTTTCCTTATTTTGAAATAATTTACCTTTTATACAATGATTTATAGCCACACAAAAAATATGTGCCTCATTTTACACCACAAGTTCAAAAGTCTTCTTTCTTTTCTTAAATTCCGTGCCCAATCAAATGAGTTCACATAAATTAAAACGAAGAATTTACAAATAATGTGCATAAAACTTAATTATAATTTTTAAAAAAAGATAAATTACGTACTACAACAAATAAAGATAATTGAATATTGTAAAAATATTTTACATTAGTTAAAGCTCAGGTTCAATAGTCTAGTTAGCTAGTGTAACAGGATTTTGGCAAAGATGACGTTTTAAAGCAGAAACTAAAGATAGGATCGAAAAAGTGCAAGTGCAGAGGAGAAAGCTAGACATATTAAAGTAGGACATCAAGTGGACATAGAATTGAACTTCCAGTTTCCCACATCACTATGTTACTTCAAATGTCGAACTTTGCTTGGATCAATGCCCCTTATGGGGCAGTTTGACGGCAATTTGGAAACTCTACATCAAGCAGTTTTTGGACAGATTCCAATTACATCATTTGAGAGATAGTAACTATGTATATGAGTATCAAAAGGAATTAATCTTTTATCAGGGAAAAAAACAATATAATAGTATTAATTTTCTGCTGGAAACTTAATTACACTAGTGATAGTGATCAAATTGTTGATGATGCATGCAGGATGTAGTGATGGTAAAACTTTACTCGGGTTCGATATTTAAATTAAATCAATAAATACATAATATATATTTTTTTATATATTTTATTATTAAATAAATATTAGTGAATAATATAGCGTTATAGTAAATTAGTATAATTTTGGTATAAAACCAAGTGCGAATAAGCTATTACAAATACTGGCCATTTGCTAGATCAACTGTTAAAGCAAAAAGAAAATCATGCCTGTTGGATGAACTATTTTGATAAGGTTGCGGGTTTTCTATAGAAAAGATAGAACTGAACCGGTTGTAGAACATTTGGGTGCCCTCCTAAACCAAAAAAATTGTAGAATATGATATTTTTGGGGGTGATTTTTAACTTTTAACCCCGCTTGTCCCATGGTCAAAATTTAAAAATTCTGCTCACGGGGTAAGTGAGTAGAAATACTTATTAAACTTGAAGTTCGTTCATACGGCAAGTGAGGATAAAATTAATTCAAGACCATTCACTTCGAAGGTTATTTGTGTACTGAAGTGACCTATTTCTGTAACTTTTTGCTCCAATCCAATAATCTATGAGCCTCCTTATGTACTGGGCCTCTGAATCTGATTCGAACTGGATCTTCCGGCCCATACATCAATAGTAAGGACAAGTAATAAAACTTAGACCATGCATGTACATCACTAACTTCATGTTCACCACATCATTGGAAGTAGGGATCTCGATAGATTTTTAAAAACCGATTAAACCAACCGAATCGTACTGTACTGAACTGATTTTTAGGTTTTTTTTAATAAAATCGTAGGTTTTTATATAAATCTATAATTGTACCGATAATTAGGGTAGTTTTTTATTTTATGAAAACAAACCGAAAAAATATCAAACCGTACCGAATAAATTTACAATATGAAAAATATATTTATATATTAAGTTTAAAATAATAAAACATTAAATTTTTTCTTGGACTTTGAAATTATGAAACAGTTACAAGCCAACAAGTAATTAAACTCAAAATCCTAATTCTCAAACCTATTATGCTACTCTTATTGAAACTAAATTATTTTCAGCATATTCACTAGCAAGACACAAGGTATTGTAGCGATTATGAGTAACAAATTACAATGTATTGAATATGTTTCCTTTCGTATGATTTAGATTTATCTTTTTGAATATTTAATCTTCTCTATAGGCTTTATTCTTGAGTCCGAGCTTGGTTAATATCTTTACACTCGTGTGATTTATATTTTCATTGTATTTGCTTTACGTTGTTGTAGAATAGTTGATGGATCTATATTATAACCATCTTTCATGTTTTCTTAATTCATCACATTTTAAACTGTAAAAATGTCGAGAGAGTTTTGCTAAGTTCTATAAAAGTATGTATGTTATTGCATTCTACTTCTACTAGTGACTTTTACATGACATTTAAAAAAAATTACCGAAAATTAACTGAACCGTACCGATACCGAAGAGAAACCGACATGATTGGGACGGTTTCGAAAAGTCTAATTTTGGTTATATATAATAAAATAACCGAAAAAATGATATGATACAAATTTTATAAAATAATCGGCCGAACCGAACCATTTACACCCCTAATTGGAAGACATAAATATTCTCTAATATCCAAATTTACACAAATTCACTGTCACCAAGTCACGCAATGAAAGTTTCAAACGATTAAATTGCAAAAGTCTTAAACTTCAAATTCAAGGACCTCTATACACGAACCAATTAACCAAACGACCAGACCTTTCTTCAAAATTCTTCTTAATCTCCTTGTCAATTAAAGCTATATCACATAAATTGAAACGGAGTGAGTACCTCCTAGGGATGGCAAACGGGCGGATCGAATCAGATATAAGTGGGTGAAAATAGGTAATTTAAAAAACAGATAAATTATTCGACCCGATCCGTATTTGAGACGGATAAAAAACGAGTTATCCGGCGGATAATATGGATATTCATATTATCCACGACTTCTTGAATATGATCACTTATGGGAGAATTCCTAGTCTCCTAAACTTGAGGAATCCCCAATTTGAGGCTTTACAAATATATATATAAAAGTTAAACACATTAGTTATACACTGGTTATCCATTTGGTTAACCATTTTCCAAGTGGATAATATGGTTATTATCCATATTCGATCCGTTTTTAAAAAGTTTATTATCCAACCCATTTTTAACGGATAATATGGGTGGATAACTTTTTTCTTTTAACTATTTTGCCACCTATAATACCTCCTAAGGCGTACGCATTGCTTGGTACAAATGCACGAGATTTTAATGACAGCAATGTTTTAGTTAACAACTTCGGCTAATTGGTTCGGTTTTGTCGGATTTTTTGGGTTTTCGAATTTTTTTGTTACATAAATATTATTCTAATCTTACTTTGTTAAAGTTATAGATATAATTTTGATAAGTGAATATATGTTTAGTAAATATTAAAAAAAATTGACAAACATATAATCTATTAAAATATTCTAATGGGAGAATTTTTTAGTAACACATGATAGTTATTTTCTTAGTCGTCTAACAATAATTTTTCGTTAATGTACGCTTTCAAGGTTAACACATGATAGGATCCCAAATATTTCTACATTTTTTAAAGAAAATTCAATATAAAGTCTTAAAAATATATATATAAATTAAATATTTATATGTCGGTTTGGTTCGGGTTTTTTTACTTAATACCAAACCAAGTCAAATCAAACCTTGTCGGGTTTTTTAATCGGTTTGATTTGATTTTTCGGTTTGGTTCGGTTTGAATACCCTACATGTGTGGATCGAGTTTGATTAAATTCTTTCATTTGAGTTTCTTTGTTAGCTCCTATTCAATTTTTAAGAGTTGAAGACGTTTGTTATTTGACTATATATTTTTAATACTTAGAAATCCAAAGAGAGAAAGAAAAAAAAGTTCCATTTCTATGTATTTTAAGAAAGTTTTATTAAAATTAATACACATCTTATCGTACTCCAAGTGATCATTCAATTCCTGAAGCCAAAAGTGACCAAAAGGTGTACGCCTATTCTAACCTAGGAAGAAAATAGTCGAGAGGTGTTGTAGCATTAGTTGTATCTTTGAGAGTTAATTATCAATCTCGACGAAAAATACGTAGAGAGCCCCTACACATTTATGATTTTTGTTGTGCTAATTAATTTTCTAGTAAATACATTTGCATTATTGCTCCATAAGAGGCTCAATTATCAATTTAGTTGTTTCTTTGTGTACCAAAAAGATTTTAAAAGATAAACTAAAACTAAGAATCACCTGATTAGGCCTGCACATATAAGTTATAACACATTGCTTTTTCTCCATAACGTTCGATTAGCTTTTGTGCATGAAAATAAAGACATCCTGGCTCCCCTAAAAAATACGAAAATCAGAATTCAAATAAAAACCATAAATGACTTAACTCCAATAATTATCAAAATAGTTTTCACTTTCTGGACAGTGAGTCACCGGGTAAATTTCACAAATGATCATATAACTATGACTTTTTTTCACCAAAGACATAAGTATAACTTTGTTTTCTCACACAAAAAATATATAACTATGATTTTTTTTATCAAAGTCATATAACTTTGTTTTCTCACACAAAAATCATAAAACTTTCACTAACTCACACAAAAATCATAGTGGTCGAAAAATAAATTTTACGGTAGTATTTTCTTATTTTACATTTTTTAATTTTTTATTTCAATCTAATAAATAATTATCCAATTAAAATAGGAGAAATATGAGTATATTTTTAGTCGTTCTCAAAAATAATAGCCGATAAAATATATTTTTCTATATATGTGTATTATATACATATAATATACACATTCTATATATATTTTGACTAGCAAATGCAATTAGTTTCGACCGGCCTATTAATTTTATATTTTTCCCTTAAAATAGGAATGACCCAACCCAGCCTAACCCAATACCCATATACGTAAGTTAAAATAATACTAAAAGTGAATTCTTTCCCAATAAGAAACTTAGTTCGAAATGCATGAGATTCTGACAAAAAAACATGAAAATAAAAGATATAATTAGAGAGCACTTGAAATAAAAATGCTATCGATTTGAATAAAAATCTTGAAAAGAAAAATAAAAGATAGAAGTATCATATTTTGAAGGATTTACTATTCAATTTTAGTATTATTTTAATTTTTATACGTAAGTATCGGGTGAGCCAGGTCGGGTTGACTCATCCATATTTTAATTGAATTATTATTTATTAGACTGAAAATAAGAAAATAAAAATCACAAAATAAGAAAATACTACTCAAAATTTATATTTTTCAATCACTATGATTTTTGTGTGAGTTAGTAAAAGTTTTATGATTTTTGTGTGAAAACTCATAGCTATATGACTTTGGTGAAAAAAAGTCATAGTTATATGATTTTTGTGTGAGAAAACAAAGTTATATAACTTTAGTGAAAACAAATCATAGTTATATGAGCATTTGTGAAATTTATCCGTAAGTCACCTGATATTCATGCTTCAGTTATTCAATTTCGTATTTTACTTATATTTTACATCTAATTATTTCCTCGTTTTACATCCGACAACTCTATGAAGTTTGCTAGCAAGTTGGCTGGATTTCAAGGTAATTATCGTTGTAATTATTTTAAATAATAGGTAAAATACAGTCATTATCTCCTCTTTCAAATTATCGATTATAGAGTGGCTTACTTGTGTGGCATCAATTAAAAATAACAAAAAGTAAAGTAATATACCATACTTTAACCTGTAATATAAAATAAGGTAATAGGAGTAGTATAAAAATGCAAACATTATTTATCGAAATACTCCGTACTTTCGACCCAAATTAAAAGGAGCACCGACAGTTTTTTATGGTATGGGACGAAAGAAACATTTCATTCACAAGGACATCAGAGTTGTCGGATGAGCAATCCTTTTCAATTGTTTCATCAACAAATTAAACAGCAACCTACCTCGTGCTCTAACTTATTTTGTCATATAAAGTGACTGAAATAGAACCACATTAGGCCTACTATTAAGCCCAAGGGTTAAACATTAGGCCAACTAGTGTAACTGGGATGGCAATGGAACGGAGCAGTTGAAGTCATGATACCTTATCCCGCCATAGTATCACCCCGCTCCACGTGCCTTGTCCCGCTTACCTTTTTATTCCATTAATTGTAAACAATAATGGAGATGTTCGCCTTTATTTGAAATGTAAATGGACGAATTGACATTTGAACCATAAACTCTGATTGGTACAATCACCCTGCAATTAGTTAAGGTCGATTATATGAATTTTATATATTCACTCTGCTCCATTGGACCTGTCCCTAACTGGAAAACACAAATATTTGTGTGCACATCTTGATGTTGAATTACCAATCTCTAACTGGAACTTACTATCAATTAAATCAGTTAATTATGGAAACCTTTGATAGAATATCTCATTGATTATTTATACAAAATAAATAATCCTGTTAGATTCCGGAATGCTGGCAGGGAGTAACTTTATAAAATTATTCATAACTTTAGTCCTAAAACAAAATTCCTTCCGACTTTTCTATGACAAAAAATGTTCAATACTTACTAAAATGAGTTCGTACCGGTTCATTCCCCAATCTCATAAACAAATTCAAAACAAGCGCAGCTAATGTAAATTGGGAACTATCATAGTTTCCAGTCAAAATACTCAAAAGCACCTTAGTAAAATGATTTAGCCCATTCAAACTAGGATGTTTTTCTAATCAAGAAAATCCAAGAATAGACATTTGATTATAATTACTTTGAGCATCACTCTCCTTAAAATGCATGCACATATGTTTCCAATAGCTTACCCTCAGAAAACACAAAAGACTGTCAACAGTATCATGTAAATAACTTATACAACAGTTTGAACCAAGCTATTCTAAATATAACTTAAAAATAAGCAGCATTTAAAACAAAACAACTCTATAAGCAACATTAAAAACCAAAGGATTTCTCAAGTTTTTGCTCTGTATCTGGATGACACCAGTTTGATCACTTGATCATTCATTCATGGCAACTCAGTATCTGTATATTCACCATTGACCGGACGCAATGCTCCATAAGTTATTTCACAAGCAGAAAGCAAATTTGATGCTGAAAATTCAAGCAAAACCAATAGCAATGACTTTTGTAGCTCAGAACCAAGTTCACCTATCGAGCATCGTTTGAGGTAAATGAATCCGCAAATCCAGTTGGTTTGGCAGGAATGCTTCCTCGACTATCCTGACTAGTACCGGTGAAATCTCCAGTGTCTTCATGCTGCCAGTCCTTCAACATTTCTGGCAGAGGTAGAGAGTAGTCAATTCCTTCATATTCATCCGATTCTTCAAAAGGTTTCCAAGTCTCAACAAGTTGGCCAAGCACATTCACTACGTGTGACATGTCAGGCCTATGATTAGGATCTCTGGCGGTGCAATGTCCGGCTAATTCAGCCATAGTGCAAATGCTCTCATGGATATCTTCCTTCGCATCAAGAGCTGGGTCAACTGAAGCAATGAGATTTCCTTTATTCGATTTTATCTGCCAAAACCACTCAACTAGATATCGAGTTTCCTCAGAACGTTGCTCATCAAGGGCGGCTAGTCCAGTCACAAGTTCCATCAACACCACCCCAAAGCTGAATACATCTATTTTAGTTGTGACTTTTCCGGTTACTGGAGAGAAGTAAAATTGGAGTTAGGATAGATGCAAAAAGGTGACTAACTAGACAGAGAACTTAGATATATCATATACAGTAATGTAAAAATAATGAGTCAGCAATAGTTTCTACACAAAAATTCAAAAGAAGTTTTAAAGCAGCTGTTCAGCATGCCATGCTTGTTGAACAGTTTTACGCGACATATTTCAGTACCATTCCTCGAGAGAAACGTATCTTAATTGGGACGGAGTTTCTATTTCTTCTGACGAGACAAGATGATAACTATGCTATGAATGGTCATATGGAGAGAGGATGTGATACCTTCTACTTGAACTGTTTAACAAAGATATAGAAAAGAATGAGAATGTGACTGAATGAAGAGAGATTGATATATCAGTGTCCGATGCATATCAATTTAGTAGGCACAATGGCAACATAGAGGAATAACAGAATTGCTTCATTAGTTACTCTGTCCTATTTTCGCTAAGGAGGAAGGGCACCGTTCAGCACAGTCTGGATTCTCATTGGAGAACTGATGCATTTATATAAATATAGAGGGACTAAAAGTGTATTGTATCCATTCAGGTAAAGATGTGTTCATGTAACAGGTTACCAGAGAGTAAAAAATTATAACTGATGCTAAAATGACAACAGTAATTATCAGAACAGTCAAAATGAGTGTATATGAAAGAGATACCAATGGCAAAGAAATGGACACTTACCAGCATATTCAGGAGCAAGGTATCCAAATGTTCCAGCAAGCCTTGTAGCAACAGACCTTTCTTTGTCAGGGGCAAGTTTCACTAATCCAAAATCAGAAACTTTTGCTCTAAAACCATCATCTAGAAGAATGTTTGATGATTTGAGGTCACGATGTATGAAGCTCTGGTGTGCCAGATTATGAAGGTACTCCATCCCTCGAGCAACATCTAGAGCAATATTGAGTCTCTTAGCCCATGATAAAGGCTCTAAGTTCAGGCTCTTCCAGCGGAAAAGATGTCTACTCAGAGCGCCCTTTGACATATATTCATATACCAAAAGCCTCTCATTTCCTTCAATAGAGTATCCCAAAAGTGAAACTAAATGGCGGTGCCTAACCTTAGAAAGCACAGCTATTTCCGCCTGAAATTCATCCAACGCCTTGCTATTGATAATCGCAGATTCCATTCTCTTCACTGCAATATGAGTTCCATGTTCAAGTTCACCTTTGTAAACAACTCCAAAGCCCCCACGACCAAGCTCATTTTCTGGTGCAAAATTACTGGTTACCTTTCGGAGGACCTGGGTTGAAATGGCAAGGTTTCCATCGATCACTTGTGTACCTTCTGTTCCACCACTACTTGTAGTTGTAGTACCACTCTGTGCAGTGTACATCATAGGATCTTCTAAGACCGTGATCTTAACAATGTCATCTTTGTTGAATGGGTCTTTTGGGTGGATGACAGTAGTACCAGCGGCCTTCTTTGGTTTTTTCCTACTCTTGAAAGTTAAAACAACCGCAAGAAGAATTAAGGCCGCAGAAGCTGCACTCACAATTACAATGATAACGGTTTTCTTATTGTTTGAGTCTGAGCCTGATCCCGACCTTATCTCTGGGGAAGGTGGTGTATCTGATAATGTTGGCCGATTATCACTAGGCGAGGGGTTTTTCAGTGGTAACCCCTTACTTGGTTTAGGACTATGTCTCAATGGAGGAAATGGGCCAATACTCGGAGGAGGAGCGCCCACAGTTACATTAGCAACAAGATGAGCATTTCCATCTGTAATGACTTTCACACCATCCCTGAATTTAGGCAATGGAGGGTCAAAATTATTCCCACTTAAATCCAACAATCTCAAAAATCGGAGCTGCGTCAAGTTTGTTGGAATTGGACCGTGCAGACTATTTCCTTCCAAGTGAACTTCAAGCAGTGAATCCAAGTTTGCAAGTGAAGGACTAAGCGTACCTGTAAGGTTCTTTTTCTGTAGATTAACAATCGTAACATGACCTTTAGGATTGCAACTGATTCCAAACCACGAACCTGCACACGGATCATTACCAGTCCATTTAGAAGCAAGCTGGGACGGATAATTCCAACCACCAAGAAGATCTAAAAGTGCATTAACTTGAGGAGCACAAGGAACACCAGGAGTTGATTGACAAAAAGAATTTGAGGAATATGTAGCATTAGCAGCTCTAAACTTTGGGATAGGACCCATGAGCATATTATTGTTCAAGTCTAAGTCTTCCAAGTCTAGATTCGCCAATCCTTCCGGAATCAAACCAACGAGCTTATTTCCATTAAGATTAAGATGCTTCAAAGAAGCCAAATCACCAATCGTATCAGGAATAGATCCATTAAAACTGTTTCCCTGAAGCCATAACGACGTAAGCTCGTCCATAGTACCAATTATGTCAATTGGACCAGTCATTCCACCACCATTAACTGGATTATTCAACCACAAAATCTGAATCATTGAATCACGAAAACTCTCCGGTATCTCACCTGTTAAGCTATTATATGCCAACTTTAAAGTAGTAAGAGAAGGCAATTTTCCGAAAAAATCAGGCAATGGTCCAACTATATTGCAAGACGTGCAAGAAAAATCTCTGAGCTGAGCTGAATCTTGCAACTCAATTGGAATAGACCATCCAGTTTTATTAAAGGGATTATTATCCAAAGCCAAAACTTGAACACTGCTAAGACCATTAAAGAAATCTGCAGGGATTGTATCAAATTGATTCCAATCCAAATAAGCATATTTCAACTCAGATAATCCACTAAAAGTAGGTAATTTACCATTAAAACCATTCTTCTGAAGGCCAACATTTTGAAGCTTATCTAATTCATTCAAGTTCTGAGGTAAAGGACCCTTTAAACCTAAACTCTGAACCTGAATTTGAGTCACTCTGTCACTAGAACAGAACACGTGGGGCCATGCAGGAGGGCCACATGGATCATTCCCCTTAGATGGCCATTTCAAGAGCTCAGGATTCTCTAATCCATTTCTGAAATCATTCAGAATCTTGAAATCATTCGGATTTGTAACACAAAAAACCACATTTACAAGAATTACAGCAAATGTACATAAGTATACAACAACTCCTCTGGAATCAAAATCCATATTCATGCATCATGAGAATTCAAATCAAGAATTCTAAACCCCAGATGAACTAATAATCTTGAAAATGCTTACATACAAACACATCATCTAAAGGATCAAAGTACATAACTGAATTGTAAAAAATGGTACCTTTTTTTGGAGGAAAAAAAAAAAGAATGAAGGACAGAAGGAGGAATGTGAGTGAATTTTGGAAGAGAAGTGAGTTAAAGAACAATTGAGCTGCAGGGGTTTTCACTCCTTTACATGTGGATCAAACCCTAAAGGCAAGTACAATTTCATGACACTCTATGTTCCTCTTTTTCTCTCTGTCCTTTGATTACTCACACTTCTGTTTTCTTCTTTTACATCTAGATTTTGCTAGTTAATTGTGTAAATGGATGTGAGATCTTAAGAATCTCAATGTAAATTATTAAATGAAAGTTGAAACAAACCTCATTGGATGGAATAGACAAAAAGTATTTCACATGTATTTTTTTCAACAAATAGACTCCCTACGTACTACTCTCCCTGCCTATTTATTGTTTGGGAGTCAAAAGGTTTGTTTTTATTACTATAATTTTTAATTTTTTTTTTATATTAGTTATGTTGACTCATAATATTTTTAATATAATTTTATTATATACATACAAATTTTAAATGAGTAATTTATTTCTAAATTCATACCGAAAATAAGCGCTTTAATCCTGGAATTTCTTCACATGAACGGGGACAATATTACTCATAAATATTCCAGCAGATCTTTTCATCTTTTTAGGCTTTATTCTTAATATAATACATTCGTATGTGTTGGTCCAAAAAGAAAGGACTCAATAATTTTCTTGTTCGTGGATTTATATAGTCTATCTAATTCAGCGAAAGACGAAAAGTTAAAACTCACACTAATTATTATGTGAAAGATTTCATCTATGCTATTAAAATTGCAAATCATTGTTTGCAAGAATGCACAGATTTCTTTTTATTTTATAAATCTTTGCCCCTCTATTTTTATTTTTAAGAAAAAGAAAAACGAGTGGCATGCCTATTTTTGGGTCAAAGGAGGAACTGGCGTTGTCGGCAACTGTGCGTTTCGGACAATGATGACGAGTTACGATGAGAGCAGCATTGAGACAACATCAACTTCTTCTTTTTTGTTTTTATGTTTTTATTTTCTTTCCAATTTCCATGGGTCCATATTGGAGCGTCGCTTGTTGACGTGTCCATAATTTTTTGGACAATGTTCTCTGTTTGTCTTTTTCTCTCTACATAAAAATAATTTCTTTATTCAATTTTCATTATTAGAGTTACTTTAGTTTTATTTACACGATTAACGACTATAGTGTAATTGCAATTACATTTCAAATTTAAAATTGTGGGTATAGATTGATCCACTCATTATCCTTAAAAAAACTGTAATTGAGTGACTGACTTTGTTTATCCCGAGTTAAATTGACCATCTCCTTAAAAAGAACTACAAATTAGCTAATTACATTATTAAATATAAGCCCGCATTAAGGAATTGGATGAAATAATATATGATCACGACGAAAGACTTTAGTATATTAGAAAACTATTAAGTATGACTTTGAAATCTGACCAAATTCAATACGGAATTGAAGTCTACTTAGTGGGCATTTGGATATAATATTTGTGAAATTCCGAAAATATATTTTTTTAAAATTCTGAAAAAAGTGAATCTTTTTATGGACAAAATGTCCCTTAATGTTAAGAATATTTGTCTTTTCGGTTGTCTAGAAGTAGAGATTGAGTAATAAGAAACATTACGATGAAATCACCCCGGTTAACAATAAAAAGGCTTAAAAGTTACTATACCTAACAAAATTGTATGTATAACTTTTTCTTGTTTAGATTAAAATTCTTTTCTCGAAGTAATATATTCTTTATTTTTCAAGGTTTCTTCTTTCTGAAATTTCTGAGCAACGGCAAAAGAGAGTATGTTTTTAATGGTTTCAACTTTTCAATTAATTTCACCATTTTTAACCTAAAAGATAGATGCACGCGCAAGTTAAACTTAAATTTAAAATTAAATTTGAAATTTAATAATTTTAAAGTGCAATAAATTCAATAATAAAAACGTTAAAAGTTAAAGTTACTAAATACAAATTCTTGTTCTACCCCTAGGAGGTTGGGGGAGGGGAACACTCATTGTTGTATGTTGGGACTAGACGTGTACATGGACCGGGTTGGTTCAGTTTTTATCAAAACTAAATCAAACCAAACCAATTATATCGGTTTGGATTGGTTCGGTTTTGTCGAATTTTTCGGGGTTTTGTTACTTAAATATTATTTCAATCTTACTTTGTTAAATTTTTTATAAATAAATATATGTTTAGTAAAAAATTAAAAAATTGACAAACATATTATCTATTAAAATATTCTTATGGGAGAATTTACATAGTAACACATGATAGTTATCTTTTTAGTCGTCTGACAATAATTTTTTTGTTGATGTACACTTTTATGGTTAATCGAATTTAGTAATTAAACATAAAATTCAATATGATACCTAAATAATAATAATCACGTCAAATTCGAAAAAGATATAAAAATTTAATAGATCTTGACATATGAATATGGAAGAACAAAGAGATTGACGCATTTCAGTAACACTTGATAAGAAAGTGATCATACAACCCATTATTTAATGTTAATAAATATGGAACACTTCATATTTTATTAAATATTATATCACGTAAGAGAATCCCAAATATTTCTAGACATTTTAAAAGAAAATTCTATATAAAATCTTGAAAAATATATATATAAATTATATATTTATATGTCGGTTTGGTTCTGTTTTTTTTTTTACTCAATACTAAACCAAATCAAACCAAACATAATCGGATTTTTTAATCAGTTTGGTTGGACTTTTCGATTTGATGTGATTTTCAGGTTCGATTTGTACACCAACAAGTCCGATCACGGGAATTTCACGCATCCTTAGCAACTTCATAGAATACACAAACACATTAATTAAAGCTTTTGGTGGCTGCATTTAAAGCTTTTTTTTGGTGGCCTAACTCCTTGTCACTAGGGGTATTACTTTTTACGAGTATATACTAAAAAATGAATTCTTTACTAATTCAATTAGTAATTAGTTGACTCTCAGCGTCAAGTACATTTAATTTTCAACTTCCATTGAGAAAAAAAGGAAACTTACCTTTATTAATAAAGATAAGAATATAAGCGAGATCTCTAACCGGATGAGATAAAAAAATATTTTCACGTGTTACTCAATTAGATTTTTAAAAAGTTATTTACTAGTACTAAGTTTTCAATCCAAAAGAGAGAACCTTTTCCGCTCATTTTCTTTGAATATTTATATTTTTAAAATTTCTTTCTAAATAAATGGTTAATTATTTAAATGAGAATCAAATGAGGAAATCTGTAAATTGGCGATGTCCAGAGTCTTATAAATAGAATATCTTCTACATGTATTTCGAGAAAATAAAATCGTCTGCATGCACTATTAACCAATTGACAGAACATATTACAATTTTTTATACAGCGAAAGGTATAATGACAGATTAATAGATATATAAGGATGACTAAATATCAACTAATAAAAGTACTAATATTGCCTAAAAAAATTATTTTACAAAACAAACTAACAATGCTACAATGTTAGCATACGAAAGATTTTTTTCTCGCACCAAATATTTATATCGAAACAATAAATTAATGCAAAGATATATGTTTTATATTTTGTTTATATTCTTTTAATATTTAATCATGATTAAGTAATACATACATATTTATACTTTAATTATAAATTTTCTGCGAGTATACTATTGAGACGTATGTATGTAGCTTATACGTCTCTGTCAAAACCAAATTCCTCTACGTATGCATGCAACTGAAGTGCTGATATTTTTTTCTTTCTTTATGTTTTTACTTTTTTGAGGAGACAAAGTTAGGTGAAATATCTTTATCAAATTTTGTCAGCCAACTAAGGATGTATGATTTTCAATTCCTATGAATCAATAGAATTTAACATATAGTATATGTTACTCCTAGTTTCTTTTCTTTTCTTTTTTCGTTTAACATATGCCTAAAAGAATTTGCAAAATGAACTATTCCTTATCTCAATTTTTTTGAAAATGAACATTCCTCAAAACATTAGTGTAAAAATATTTTCCTAAATGTAGTATATTCTTGTTGTTATACAGTTTTGCCCACTCTCGAATTTTTCAATTAAGAAGAATAATTTGGTGATGTTTAATTTCTACTAATAATAATAATAATAAGGGAATTACTTCGGGATTCACTCTTGAAATATAATCGTCGCTTTTACTGTTGATGCCTTAAATTTGGCTTAAAACTTATGGAACAAGGAGTTTAAAATATGTTCCGATAGAACAAGAATTCTTCTTTCATTCTAAAAAAAAACGATACTTCTTTGGGGAAAAGAACTTGAATTAGGTTATTTTAGAAGTTCTCATTTTTCTATTAGAGATGTAGTATGTCATTTTCTATTCCAAAATATCTCAAATACTTGAAGGGACTGCTAACATGAAGAGATTAGGAAATTTCCTTCTCTATCTCTAGTGATCACTTTTCTTTTTCGACCAAGTTCTGAGTTCGTTTTACTTTTCCTGTTGGCAAATCAGCAAAGTAGATTCTATTGACAACTGTATTTTTCAACACAAACTGAAAATAGTAAATACCACTCGAGTAGACACAGAAGGACTAAATGCGTTTATTATCTAGTCTTATAGTAGAACATATGAGATGATTAATAAAGTCTTCAACATTTTAAAAGCAAAGTAAAAAAGGAGCAAATTTGTCCACTATTAGGCCCTTGTTGAAATGCACATTGTGGAATTTTAAAAGCTAAAGAATATTACTAGTATAGCAAAATTAGAGTAAGTCAAGTTTGAACTTTTCTACAAGTCACAATAGCAACGGTAATCAATGCTATTCTTTGAGGGTCCAATGTATAAGCTTCAAAAACAGAGGTTTGAAATATTAATTTTTTTAAATAAAATTACAGAATGAGAGTGATATTAGAATAGAACCAACAACTGATATGGTGAATATGGAGGCCTTTTCAAAGGAGAAAATGAGTAAGAATCATCAACTGGTAATTGGTTTGAACGCGCTATTTAGCTGATATGTAGATGACTTATTGGGATAATCTTTTATGTAACACTTCAGGAAAAATGTAATGTTGCTGTCACACCAGAAGTTGATAGTATTTACCGAGTTCTAAATCCAGTGACATGAGACAAGCTGTTGGGACACATATAGTGCTTGAGCTCATAAGCAAACCGAACGAGATCCCAACTAAGCATCTTTAAGGAATGGTACAGTCTCCTTTTGATACTTTTTGATAGCTTCAATTACCTTTGTTGGAAATGATTCATCTTCAGGATAATAAGCTATAGGATCAGATAATACAGGTTCTGAAACGTTCAGCACACCTTCAAGAGTCGCGTGCAGACAATAGGCTGCATATGTAACATGGTATCCACCTTCTTGGACGATCAGGAGCTGTCCATTGCTATACTTATCAGCCATGCCACGAATTGTCCGCCCAATATCTCTGTAACCCTCCATCGTCAAGCATTGCCTTCCATTTGGATCAAACTGAAAATTCAAGCAGAGTTGAAGAAGTTTCTTGAGTTAGCATAATATGATAGCTCTATAAACTAAACAATCCACCACTCACCCAGATTTATTACCATGACATAAATAAACGTGATTATTTGCATCTCTAAAGAGTTAACATTAAATGCATAGAACTTTTGGAACTGACATTCCTATCTTGAGTTTGACATGCTGTAGTAATATAAATGCGTTAATGCTAACTAACATCAACTATGAAAGAAACATAGATGATAGATTCAGTTTTCAGCCTTCTGCATCGGGGGTCATAGAGTTCAAGTCAAAGGAACCGTTGAAGTATGACCAACAGGTGAATGAAAAAAGAAAAGTTGGTGGATCAGCTGGAGTTGATGGTTTGGTTCTGTTGATGAAAGTCTAAGGCAATTAGGCAGAAAGCATATTCACAGGAGAGAAAAACCAGCTGCTGATTTATCATCCAATATATTAGGGCCAGGATGAGAAAAATAAGGATAGCTAAGAGACTGTAGCCTCCAACTCCAAGCAAAGGATAACTAATCAAGCATCAAGAATGGGCAGAAGACGTCTAACACTAGACGTAGGTATACCTGCATTGCATGTTATGGGATTTCCCTCATAGTACAAACTCTGACTACTCTTTTCTTGATAAATAACTCTTCTGAGTGCTCCGATGAGGAGTTTCCAACTTTCCTATGAAGAAAAGCATAAGATATGCTCAACAACACTGTAGTTTGTCTACACCCAAAATTACGCCAAAATAAGAAAGTTTAATGCAGCATCCTGTAGAATATCCTGCAGCCTCCTAGCTGATTTAGTACATGATAAAATTCGAGAACAGAATAGTAATCTAAAACCACTAAAGGAAACTAGTTGACTGTTCTCAAAAACATCGCTCACATGTTATGCACATTTGACATTTGGACTAAAATATTTGGACTCAAACAGAATTCAACTTTGTCAAAATGAGTATTGAAACAGCTAATCTGCAGTTCTAAGCATCTAAGTAGAGTGCTTGTGTAATTGAGGTTAAGGAACCTTTAACCACCTGCCACCCAAGCTCCTATGTCTGAGGAAGTATAGACCAGCATTATTAGGAGATTAACAAGAAATGCACGGCTCGATGAGCTCTGCTAATTCCTCTCAACTTAACTTTAACTATTTACTATGGGTCAACCTATAATCCGAAGTATATGCCTGTGTTAACACCAACCACAAATCGACAACTATCTTTCATGTCTGAATATGCCTTCTTTTCACATTTTTAAGATGGTATTGCATTGATTAATGAACTTCACTTCAACATACCTTTCAAATTCCATCACAAATTACAAAACATTGAACTGCAATAAGATAGTGCACTTACAGCACTTGAGTCCTGCCCAACAACCAAAACCAACATATCAGGCTCAAATTTCTCTATAGCAGGAACAACTAAATGTTGCACGGCATAACCATACCCTTTGTCTCCAGTTCCATTTGGCAAAGGTATATTCAGGTTATACCCAAAACCTTCACCCTCACCAAGCTCATCTACAGTTCCACTCTGTGGATGAGAGGGGCCCCAAGAACCATGATTCATATGCAGTGAGATCGTAAGAACTTTATCAGAACGATAAAATCCTTCTGCTGTTCCATTCCCGTAATGAACATCAATGTCAAGGACAGCAACTTTTCTACAACCACTATCTAGAGCCAGTTGTACAGCTAGACCCGCATTGTTAAGGAAGCAATATCCGTCAGCTTGAGTAGGTTGTGCATGATGACCAGGTGGTCTGACCAATGCATAAGCAATTTTCCCGTGTCCATCACTTATATGCTTCATAGCTGATAACGCAGTACCAGCAGCAACAAGTGCGGCATCCCATGACCCAGGATTTAAGAATGTCCCTCCACATATTTCTTTCCAACCATTTCTATCAGCTTCAATTAGTTCATTTACATATTCTGACAAATTAAAAATGAAAAAGCTTAGTGGCTTAAATTTTGGATTGAGAATAGATTCCAGAATAGCGTTTGGATTTACTAAAAGCCAACTCATGACAGAATATACCTAAAGTTTGTGTATCTTCTCATGGTCTGTATTTACTCGAGAGATTATCCGGGTTTCTTTAATGAAGGTTTGCGTGCTTGACTAACCATACTGATTCAATATGCTAGAGTGCCTTACATAGTCCATAATTACTAGGGATTGATTGGTCGGGATGGAAAAGAAACAGTAAATAAAGCTCAAATAATTTAACTTCAATATACATCACCTCTCTGCATTAATTTCCTTTCTTTCTATTCCTTTAAATCAATTCGTTTCTTCCAATTCCTTCAAACCAATCAACCCCTTAAGTTGGTTATAATGTGCTATCCTTACTTCCTTTTCCATAATTGCATTCTGTTTAACCATACTGATTGTGCTACTCATGCTTTGGCAGCTCAGAATAAATCCATGTGCCTTCAATTTGATATATAATTCAATTTTCAAACTAGTGGCAAATAAGCACTAGAAGATAATCTGGACGTGGAATTTTACTATACTATGCTTCATTTTTTCTGGTAATTACCTTAATGATCTTTGACGAATCTTTTGGCTTTAAGAATTATCACACCTGTCAGTTTCCAAATTAGAATGAGGAGTAAAGTCAGTTTAATTCCCAATTAGAATGAAATTCACTTCCTCGGTCACAGGACATTCTGCATTTGTAAACTTAAATTTCACATCTCAAAATTGTAGCAACTTTCATATAAACTTTAATCCCCTAAAGGACCCTCTTCACAACCCATAATTTTTTTAGGTAGAAATGCCTAAAAGTTTAAGTTTTACCTAAAAGATTCTATCTTTCACTTCCAAATGGTCCATCACATTTAACTTTAGCTGGGATTTTATAAGTCTTATATAATGTTATCTTCAAGACAAATATTTATGAATGATATTTCACTACAAAAATTAGTCAACTCTTGAAAGAAAGTTTTCTTTTTTTTAGTCAAATTTGGGAGAGTGGAGTAACAATCTAGTCTAGACTATCCTAGATAGAGCAATATACTCAACTAAAACACGTAGAATTGTAGAAATCAAAAGTTTATACAGAAAAAAAGAAATCTGAAAGGAAGTTCAAGTGGGGTACCTTGGGTGTGGAAAGATAACAATTCAGAGATAAGAGCAGGGCGGCCATGGTGCCAAGAAATGAAAGGTGAAATAGGACCCCTTTTGAGAATGGACAACATGTTCTTTACCCTGTCTGCATTTTCTGGGTGCTTTTCCAAAACATCAAGAAAACCGGGATCCATTCCTGTGTCAAAAACACCAGTTCCTGTATCATGTTTCAGTATGCCCTCGTCCCAGAATACATGAATGAGGTTGTCTGCTTGTAAAGATGAAGGAGGAAAAGACTCAGCAGAAGCCATGAAGAAATTGGAGAGTTGGAAATCAAGCCGGAGATTGGAATTGAGTAAGAAGCTGCACTGACTTGACACTACAGTGGTGAATTTGTTTGACGCTCTCTTTTTATTCAAGGAAATGACAAAATTGTCCCTAAAACATTAGCGTTATTGCTCTCTGTCAATTTCGTACATTGTTGAGTTTTGGAATCCAAGGATGCAAAAGCTTCCTAGCTACAACTGTGAAAAGCCAACGGAAGATCGACTGAGAAACGAGGAAGAAGAAGAAGAGCACACATGGAGTCCAAATTTATTGGATTTAAATCCATAAAATAATTTGGACCGTATTTTAACTTCAAGATATTCTAATCCAACTAAATTATTATAGGCTAATATAATTGAGTTAATTATATAATTCCAATACCTATGAGTTAAATAAATAAATTCAAATTTATTGTGCTAACCCATTTAGTTGAGCTACAAATGATGAGCTCACTTCATCGGGCTCAATATGCCATCTTACTAGAGGCTATGTTTGGTGCCACGTCAAGTCAAACGGAAGAGCCAATAGGATTATGCGACGCGTCGAAATGACAAGACATGCTAAGTCAAATTAAAAGGCCAATAAAACAGTGTCACATGTGCATGTGACATGATTCGGCCAATCAAATACGGTCTTGTCATGTTTCAATCTCATTGGTCGGAAAGAGTTTGTTCTCATCGCAACTTTCTCTCCCACAACTATAAATATGGGTCTTCATAACTCAGAAACGGACACCAGAAATTATAACAAGAAGACACGAGGGAGCTCGTGGATCAAAGGCCACAATTCCCTACAAACTGCAAGTGTTCAAGCATTCAAGTACTTCAACACAAATTTCAAATATTCAAGATCAAGAACGAAGTCAAATCAAATACAAGGCGTTCAAGATCAAGGCTACTTGTCCGTGATAAAATTCGTGGCAACAGTCAAAGCGTTTGCGACGGATAAATCAAATTCAAATTCAAGATCAAGCTCAAAGGCCCTTGAATTTATATTGAAAAGAAGAATCATAGGATTCATATAGATTGTAACACTCAAATATTTGAAATAAAATACTACGATTGTTGCAATATTATTCAGTCTTGTTTTTTTTTTCTTGACACAAATTTATTGTCTACAAATTCTGTCGTGCCCAGTGGGACCAGTTCTGCCCTTCATCTCTTCTTCCTGCAAATCGAAAACTACAAATTTCAAGATTATCTGTTATAATGGTCGGGTACTTCAAGTCTCGTTTTCAAGTTTCAGCAAGCCTACACCTCGACAAACCTTGAAGTAAGGGCATTTGTAGACACTAATATTTTAGCAAATCAAGATAAATCCTAAATTCAAGATAACTCTTGAAATATTAGGAGCCTATTAAGGTTACTGGTGGCTATTTCACCCAAACCCTAATTCATGCCTATAAATAAAGCTACATATGGCCTTCAAAGAGGATCTCAATAATTCCATAAACTCTCGGAATATGCACAAAGAGATCAAATATACGATCTCTGAAATTCCATAAAACTCTTGGAATATTCATTAAGAGATCAAAGACATGTCAAATATGTCTTGCTCAAAGTTCTAGCAACATTCAAGATCCAAATGGAGTGCTGCTACATGCTTCTTGATCATCATACATCAAGAAGATATATATCATCCTACATACGAGAAATACACCGCTAAGGCCCTCGAATTATGGATAATAAATCGGAGGAAAGAATCAAGGGATAAACAAAGTTGTAACCCGCAATGTTTATCAATAAAATTATTTTTTCTTTATAGTTGTTTGTAATTGCAGTTTTATTTTCCTACAGAAATTCGTTGCAAACAAATTGGCACGCCCGGTGGGACCAGTTCTGCCTTTCATCTCTTCCTCCTGTAAATCGAAAACTCCAAGTTTCAAAATTATTTGTTATAATAGTCGAGTACTTCAAGTCTCGTCTTCAAGTTTCGGCAAGCCTACACCCCGACAAACCTTGAAGTAGGGAGCATTTGTAGACATCAAAATTTTAAAGGGTCAAGCTAAATCTTAAATTCAATATAATATAAGACTCTTGAAATCCTAGGAGTCTATCAGGGTTTCTTGGAGGTTACTCTACCCTAAACCCTAGCGCACGCTTATATAAAGGGATACATATTCCCTTGAAGAGGCGTCTCAAAAATCCCATAAATTCTCGGATATTCACAAAGGGATCAAGGAATAAAATAATGTTGTGATCAATAGATGTCCTTCTTGATAATCAAATACTTCAAGAAGATCAAATAATACAGAGAGGTCTGTATCATCTTACGTTCGAGAATACACTGATCCAGCCCTCGAATCACGGAGAACAATTCGGAGGAAGAATCAAGTGATAAACAGAGTTGTAACCCACAATGTTTATCAATAAAATTACTTTAATCTTTTGTGATTGCAATTTATTTTTTGTATGTTGAAAATTTATTGTTTAGAAATCCTGGCACGGCCAGTGCGACAATCTCTATCTTATCTCAACTTTTCAATCACCAAAGTTCAAAAATATCGAAATAGCTTCACAGAGTAATCAACTCCAGATCAACTTCCATTAAGGTTGGTAATTCCAAGTTCTATGCTGATGTGGAAAGCATACTCAATGTTGTCTTTGAAAGCTTTGAACCAGTTACAAGGAGCAAAGCAAGCTCTTTAGGACAACAAGTACTCCAAGTGCCATCCGTATCAACCCCTATTTTGGGATCTTCATCCTCAAAAGTAGTGAGATCTTCTGTAAGAACGACCAAGAAAAGGAACGACGTCGCCGAAAGGGTTGAAAAGGTTCTTGCTCAACTTAGTTTATCTAAGTCCAAGAAACCTTTCATGCAAGCCGATGATGATGAGTTGAGCGTTGGATCTCCTCTAATATCCATTAATGCGACCTCTAAGCTCTATCTCAGCAATGATATTTATTATTCTTTATCCTCTACGGCGATCATGCAAGCAATGGTTATTGAAGCTTATACTGTAGAAGAACAACTTGCAAATTTGACGAAAGCAGTTGAAAGCTTATCAAAGCGCGTGCAAGATCAAGATGCTAAATTTTCTAAGCTAATAAATACATTGAATAGCATAGTAGAGGGAGAATCCGCACAAACACCTTTAAATCTTCAAATATCACAAGAGAAAGAAGACTCTTCCAAAAAGCAAGCAACGACAACCAAGGACATTCAAGTCTCCGCTGAAGGTCTGATTCCTGTTGAGAAATTAAAATACTTCATCATGGAGGCTATCAAAGATAAGCCTGAGTCGTCCAAATTATCTCTCACATAGGCAAAGCCGTACACTCAAAGAATTGATAACTTAAAGATATATGTTGGTTATCAACCTCCTAAGTTGCAACAATTCGACGACAAGGGAAATTCGAGACGACATATAGCACACTTTGTTGAAACTTGCAACAATCCTGGAATGTATGACAATTATCTTGTCAAAAAGTTTGTGCGATGTCTCAAAGGTAATGCATTCGATTGGTACACATATCTCGAATATGTTTCCATCGATAGTTGGGAGCAGTTGGAGCAAGAGTTTCTGAATCGTTTCTATAGCACAAGACGCATCGTAAGTATAATCGAACATACAAACTCTCATTAACGAAAGGATGAGCCAGTTATTGACTTTATCAACCGCTGGAGGAGCTTAAGCCTCAACTACAAAGATCACCTTAGCGAAACTTCTAGCATCGAAATGTTCATTCAAGGCATGCGTTAGGGTCTTCACTATATCTTACAAGGCATAAAGCCCAAAACATTTGAAGAACTAGCAACTTGTGCTCATGATATGGAACTAAGTATGGTGACAAGTGGAGACCAAGAGCTATCTGTCTTTGAGTCTTACGACGAAGAAGAAGAACAAGAAGGCAAGTATGGGGGCAAGCTTTCATCAGAGAATCAAACCGAAGAGTCTATGAATATCACTATGCTCCATGACGCATGAGCCTAAACTGCAAGTCGTAACGCTCCTTAACGCACGAGCCTAAACTACAAGTTATAACGCTCTTTAACGCATGAGCATAAACTGCAAGTTATAATGCTCATCAATGCACTAGCCTAAACTGCATGTTGTAATGCTCATCAATGTACGAGCCTAAACTGCAAGCTATAATGCTTCTTGGTACATGAGTATATATTGTATGCTATGAAACTTCCTAATTTTGAACTAAATCTTTAATGCGTAAAGCTCTTCGAATTCGAGCAAAGTCTTTAAGTTGTAAAGCTCTTCAAATTTGGGCAAAGTGTTCAAGTCACAAAGCTCTTCAAATACGAGCAAAGACTCAAGTCAAAAGCTTTTCAAAGTCGAGCAATGACTTCAAATTGCAAAGTTTTTCAAATTCGAGCCAAACTTCAAGACATAAAACTCTTCAAATTCAGCAAAGTCTTCAAGTTGTAAAGCACTTCAAATTCGAGCAAAGTGTTCAAGTTGCAAAGCTCTTCAATTTTGAGCAAAATCTTCAACTTATAAAGCTCTTCAAATTCGATCAAAATCTTCAAGTTGCAAATCTCCTCAAAACAAGAGCTTAAATTGCAAGTCGCTACGCTTCTTGATGTACGAGCCTAAATTGCATGTTCCTATACTCCTGGCTCACAAGAGTACAAATTGTGTACGGCCCACCAAATAAAAAGGGTTTGCTAGGTTGAAAACCTCGAAAGAGGCAGCCCAAGCAAAATTTAGGACAATTAAAAAAAATCACCCATTCTGAACTATGGTATGACTTAATCCTCTTCACTGAGGTACACAGGCAGCTTAGAGTTTCATTCTAAATTCAGTCACATGAGTTCAAAAGATATTAAAAAAAAGTATGCTCGTGTCAGACCTTTCTAAAAAAAGGTTTTTGTTGCAAACTTTTAAATGTGTTTGTCTCTAACTTTTAAAGACATCCGAATTTTAAGGTTTTTGTTCTGAACCTTTAAAAGGCGTATGTCTTGAACTTTTAAAGGTGTTTGTGGCAAACTTTTAAAGGTTCTCACTACCAACTTTTAAAGATTCCTAACACGAGATTTTAAGGAACTTTGCGCGAACTTTTATGGGTTTTCGCCACAAATTTTAAAGGTCTTGACTGCGAACTTTTAAAGGTCGCCACTGTGAACTTTTAAAGATTTTGACCACAAGCTTTTAAGGGTCTTTGCGTAAACTTTTATGGGTCTTCGCCACAAATTTTAAAGGTTTTCACTGCAAACTTTTAAAGGTCGTCACTGTGAACTTTTAAAGATCTTGATCGCAAGCTTTTAAGGGTCTTTGCCACGAACTTTTAAGGGTGTTCGCCATAA